AAGATGAACGAATACTTATAGAGCAACTATTACTTCAATTAATTATCACTACCACCCTTAGAGATGTGGCTTAGCAGATAAAGAAACTGAGGCACAGAGAAGTTAAGTAACTCACCAAAATCAAGTGGTAGAGCCAGGATTTGAATCCATGTTGACCTGACTCCACAGCTTATGCTGGGTGTATGACACCAAAGGTTTCCTAACTCATGAACCTTGTTATCTAAGAGCAGCAGGACTCTGCCAAGAGATGATACATCTTCACATTTATGCTTAACCTAGAAGACTCCTGGATATCTACTCTTTAGATCCTTAACCAGGTTTATGTTCCCATCACTCCTCTAGGAGCCCTTTCAGCAGAGCACTCTTTACCCTGACTCTGAGAAGATTCCTTATCTCCTTTCTACTGGACATTGAACTCAAGGGGATGAATATATATCAACCCTTATATATCTAGTAAATAGAAGGTATTCAGTCCATGTTTGCTGAATGAATTTAAATGAAAATGTTGGAGATTGTGTTATGGCTTCGAAGTTGAGCGAGCAGAGCGAATGTGCATAACAATATTAAAGTTTGGCAAAGCTAGGAACAAACTTGACCAGAATGGTGACAAAGGGGGAGGATGTCTTGTTCACTTTTACAATTAATGGATCATGATTTCAGTATCTAGCACCAGAGATTCCACATGACTTACAAATGTGTGCTTCACAGTTACAGGTAGACTTCACTCTAGCTCTGTGGCTCTGAAACCAATGTTCTGCTATTCCTGGTGGCTGCGCCTGAGTCACTCTTCACAACAAGATGCCCTTGACAAGTACCAATCTTTCAGTGGTGGTTTCAAACCATTTGGGAAAAAAAAACAGAGCAAATGATAAAGCAAATGAGAGCAAACTGTTAATAATTACTGACCTTCGGGAAAGCAAACACAGTGAGTTCTTTGTACTATTCTTGCAACATTTTTATAATATTTTAAGATTATATCAAAATAAGTTTTTAAAATCTAAAAAAGAGTAAGTTTTCCAGAAGATTCCAACATACAAGGTCTAGTGTACTGGCTATACTAGTAACATAGTCTCTTTTCAGATGTCCCAAAAAATCAAACTCAGGCTCAAGTTTTCTTGCCTATCAGCCAATATCAAGGGAAAAGGAGCTCTCTGGGTAATGAAGCACTGCCATGGCTTCCGGATTGGGGCAAAGATTAAATTACTTGTAGCTTGAATAGTATTCATGAACTTAGCGGTATCTCCTATTGATCAAAGCCCCAGTACTATTTCCTCACAGAAACCCCCATCCTTTCTTCAGCCACTGGCTGAGTTCTTTCTTCCTTTTCCCAAGCCTAGCTATGGGATCAGGCAAATTTTTCCCAGGATCTTTCTTTCTTGCTCTTCCTCAGGAGAAGCACAGCGACAGTTCTGATAGTAAGAGCTTTACAGCTATCATATATGGTAAGACTTGCAGAGAGAAGGCAAAAACAATCATGAAAGAGTCACAAGTTCCAGAAAACTCAAAGTGATAGTTACTTGGTCTGTAATAACCACTTGCTAGCACCCTTTTATTCATTCATCATTTCTACCCACTCATCCTGGATCTTCCCCAGAATGCTTCAGCCTTCCCAGCCATTGTAACTTGAATGACAGAAACTTAAGAGCCATTCAACTATCCCCATTTCAGGAGAATGCCAGATAGCTGTCACCCAATACTCACTTCTCACCTAAAGGAGAGGTAAGTAAAGATCTCAGTAAATTGTATATTTCCACTTAATATATATACCGAGTATCCGCACTCTATGACTGAAACTGAATGACTAAAGGATATAGGAACACAGTAAATGGCTGTGAATACCATATATAGGATATAGGATGGTAAGAGGGTGGAAAAAGGAACAGAGTCTGAGGAAGGACATTAAGGAGAAAAATAGAGAGGCATGGCACTAATGGGACAAAGAAATGGGGTACTATCTATTGAAGATAACTTTATAGTATTATCAACTGGACTGGGGAGAAATGCACACATGTTGGAATATTCACTTTGCAAGCTAAATAATGTGATTTAATGTAACTTGAAATAAAATTAAAACAGAAAGAAAAAAAGATCACAGTAAATTATACCCTGATGAGAGATTTTCATTATGTAGTTCAGCGTATGACCTCTATCTTCTTTAGCGCCTATTCTGTGTAAGCTCCATGAAGAGGCAGGTACATTATGTCCCATGATAATGTTCAATCTCATTTTTGACCAAGCTCTCTGTATCCTAATCAGGGCTTATAAGAACTCTCTGTAATGCCATGTCTTCACAAACACCTCCTGCCTCCTGCCTGCTCCTCTTCCCCTTAAATACTTGCATAGTTTCAGCCAATCTCAAAATAGTGGACAAAAAGAATCAATGGCTTTCTATAGGTTGGGGTAGGGATGAATTTTTATGGTTGGTGGACTACAAAGAAGGAAAAGGCAAGCATTAAGGTACAGAGTCATACTATACGTACAAGCCTCCAAAATTCTTTGCTTTATGATGACAGCCATGTACCATCACCTGTCCTGCTCTTAGAAAACTACTATAGGCCAGGTGGGTCACAGGTACAACCATAAGATTGCTTCCATGTCATTCTTAAAAAAAAAAAAGAATTATTTTATTTAACTTTATTTATTTACGTATTTATTTCTTTTAATTTGACCAGAGAAGGGCAGAGTGAGAGTGAGAGAGAGAAAGCAAGAAAGCAAGCCACCAGGTCTGGGACCTGAACCGTTTTCGATCATGTGGGAGTCCAGCACCCTTAACTGCCACACTACCAGCCCCCATCCAAGTCACTCTTAACTTCCAGCTGATCACGAACACTTCAGAGATAAGTGGAAAGGTCCTTCTTCTCTTTTCCCTGTGACCAAGATTCACGTCACACTGCCAAGGCCTAGCAACATGATTCAGAAAAGAAGGAAGACAGAAAGTGTGGATTCTAAAATCAGACTTTCATCCCTGAGTATTCCAGAATTAATTGGGCAGAAACTGCAAGGAACTGTTTCAAGGCAACAATACTGGGTTAAGAGTTCTTCTCTACCAAACAAGGGTATAGAAAAGAGCACATCAACAGAAAAAGGTGGCAATGATGGTAGCTAACATTGAGTGAGGGCTTAATATGTGTATGCACTGGGCACTGGGAGGTACTTCCCAAAGATATCCGGTAATCCTTGAGAGAGAGTATTATCCTTTTCACTTCAAGTATATAAGCTCAGAACTCCCTTTAAATGAAAGATAAAATGACATACTATGGAGGTAGAATATTCCTCAGCTAAACAAAAAAGAAAAAAAACATCTTTTTTTCACTTATCCAGAAAGTGCATGAGAACACTACTCAAAGGGTACAAAGGCCAGGATTCACCATCCTGTTTTCTACAGATGTTACTTAAGTAGCAAACTAAAAACAAACATAAGGCTTTGTTCAGGCCTTTCTCACTCCCACCCCCAGTCCCTCACCCCTAGGCTGATAAGTGGCTTCAGGGAAGGTATTTAACTACTCTGGGAAAATGGATTCTAGGTTGCTTAAACTAAGCAAAGATGTTGTGCAACCAGTTTTTACCTAAATTATTTTTCATTACTTTCTGAGTTTAGAGAGCAGCAGTTATCTGTACCAAACTGAATACAGGGAATGAGGCCGCATTTCCCTCCAGGCCACTGGAATCACCGTCAAAGTTTTCATTTCTCACACAACCAGATGACGGGTGAGTGGGGGGGAGACCTCATTCTCAGCTTCACAGATAAACGCATTTCATGGCAAAAGAAAAAGAAAAAACCCAAGACCATTCTCCCCCAAAAAACCCAGAAAATCGCACACATCAGAACTCAGTCTGAGAAGCAGCCAAATGAGTTTCTTGCCAAATCCCTAGGAGTTAACAGAAAGCCATTTCTTCTTTTTGTCCACCTCTTTGAGGTCCCGGGGTCCCGCACAACACTATAACCTTTTAAACATGCCTTCACATACTACCATTTCGGCCACTCACTCGAGATCCCGCCCCCCTTTCCTCCTCACAGGTAATAAACGCAGGTTGCCCCGTGCGATTTCAAGTCAGACTTCGCTGTAGCCGTGGCTCTGGCTCTGAAAAGTGAGAGAAAAAGATTAGAGACTTAAAAAAAAAATCTCTGCCCCCCCCACTTCGGAGGGAATAAAACGAAGTCCAGAGCTGAAGAAAAGTTTACTCTACCATGTCAAACAGTGGGAAATTTTCCTCTTT